GAACGAATGGGATCGTAATGTGTATATCTCCAAGAAATTGTGAAATGTCGAATTTGATTCGTTCCACTCGTAACCATCGATATTGTTAAATATACTTAGAACATGTTCTATAAGAGACAAAACAAGCACCATTGTGCTTATAATAAAAAATTTCCATCGAAGCCGTGTGGGTTCTGTCGAATTGCTGAGGATCAGGAAGATGAATGAAACATTTATTTTATATTTTATCACGTATTATTTTTGAGAAATTTGAGTCAACAAATTTCTTTCTCTGCCTGGACAAAATAATAAATAAGCATTTAAAAAGAAAAAAAACGATATTTCTCTCTTTTCAAGGAAAAAACTTGCAATCAAGGATATGATTATCTGGAAATCTCGCGGTATCGCATTTGCACGCTAAAATAAACTAATTATCGTAGTTTCCTGGACGATTAATAGGTATCTAAAGCTCGCGTGTATAGCAGATAAGCGGCAAACAACGCGATTAGCAAACTCACGAATAGTGGCAAGCTTTTGCATATACGAACGCGATATCGACCTGTCTATATATCGTTCCATAGCTCTCCATTCGTACTGAAGAGATACCCAGCGTGACGATAATAAGAAAAATAAGATGCTGCCTAGCAGACAGTTCCCATAGAACATCGCACCGACTGTTGCTGCACCTAAGCCACCTGGGATGAAACATGATAGGTTATTCTGTTTCGTTTTTATCACATTAATCCATCACAAAGAAAATAAGAGATGTCACGTTTTAACATAATGTCTCACGCAATTATCATCGATTCCAGATTCAAAAGTCAATATTATTTTATATACACGTATTATGTGCATGTTTCAAAATTTAGAATTAATAAAGAAAAAATATTTTATCATTTAAATAGCGCAACACTTTGATATTAGAATAACAATTTATTTTGATAAAAAATTGTGATGGAATAGAAGTTTCATAGAATATCTCAAAAATGTTGGAACATCCATAAACTGGAAATATCTAGACAACAGGTAGCCAACTGTCGCAGCTCGACTAGGCTACGTGCTCTGTGATTGGCCAGTATTTTCTGTTAATAATTCGTTAATAAAATCATAACGAATGGAATTTATAGTTTATATAGATACAACATTTTTAGGATATCTTATATATATATATATAAACTTTAATATTAGAAGTAACAAATCGAAGATATTAATCGTAGCTAAAACTAGTTTAATTCTTTTCTTAGATTTATATCAGTTTTAAAAAAGCAAATGTTGAATTGTGTATGTTTATTGTAACATGTATACGATGTAAATTATTCACTTACCACGAATCTGAAATGTACTGGCGTTAAAAGTTTTCAACATGTGTATCACCGATATAATCGTCATAAACGAAACCATTAAAGCGATGAAACCTGAGTATATAGTGAGAAATGAAAATATTTTGAATTGAAGTTTTGATAGCGACGAAGATCCAACTCCGCATACTGGAAATATGCCGAATATTTGAGCGACCTTTAAAACAGGGCCGATTGCACAGTGAAAATTCTCTAATGCCTAAGTAAGTAAACGAACAAACTTGCGAATAAGATTATTTGAAATTTAAATCATTTCCTTTTTGAATTAACGAACAAATTCTCACTTCGCTATCTCTGAAATAATTTCGTTCGCCTCGAGATCGCTTGGTGGACAAATCGTTCTCTCGATTCGCGCTTATGTCCTCGATATCATTGTCATCCTTGTGATATATGACAGAGGACCATATCTTCAAATTGGAACCTTTGCCTTTGCCTTTCGGTTCATCTTTTGTTTTTAACATCATAAGTTGGATTTGATCCTCCGAATGCATGTTTAAGTGTTACGATAATATTACATCGTGCATTTAATACGATCCCGTTGAAATGTGTCATCAATGATCCTGTGAAGAGTTATTAAAAAATGATGAAAGTGGCTAATTTAATTTCAGAAAAGAAAAAAAAAAGAATGTTATTAATATAGAATCGAGGAAACATCCACGCCCATCGAGAAGAGCAACAATAACGAGAAAATAAAATAGATACGACGTAATCATGGGCGTATTCCCATTTGGATCTATCATTTTTCCTTGATACATTGCATGGTAACAATATTACTTTTTCATTATTTCTCTTTTAAATTTGCTTAATTATATTTTTCTTATGATTTTACTAAGCAAATTAATAACTATTTTTTTTCTTTTTTATTTAATATTTTCCTTTAAATAAAACATTAATTAGTCTTTATTAATATCATGCATCCTTGACAATATTCTCCGAGCTAATATTTTTTTTATCGCATCCTGGGTGAATATTTCTTCTTTTCAGAAACACGAGCTAATAATGTCTCATTTTTCGAAATCATGAAAAGGTTGTATTACGTTAAATCCCACGTAAAATTAAGCGATAAATTTCAATAGACTTTTGTCTGCGAAACTAGCATCGTCACGAAACCTGTGGTAGTGCAATTAATTACCAAGCATTGTGGACATTCTAACGGTATGACGCATGTTCTGAGACAACCGATCCCAATGATGCATTATATTCCAGGAAGGAGGTGACTTTGTGTTTATCTAGGATGCAAAGTAACAATGTTGACACTGCAAAGTCTTGTTAATTTGCGACATTTTCTTTCCCCGTACATTATATTTCCTGTTTTTAAAGAATTATTGAAAGATAGCCAAGATTCGATTTCAATTTCGACAATATATTTTATTCAAATATATTTTATTGTATTATATTTTTAAAGAAAATTAAATAACAATGTTCTTGAATGCAATTAGATTGAATTAACGATGATATAAAAGTAATGGAGAATGAAATAGAATTTGATCTAACAAAACATTTATTGATATACGTGACAATCGTAATAAATTATTGCATCAATTTTTTAAATAAAAATGCTAATTTTTTTATATATTTTAATCACATTTTAAACATTAAAAATATGACAAAATTAAAAACAAAAATAAAACTAGGCAAGATGATAAGGGATGCATTTTTCTAGTTACTATCTACTAGTTAATAAACTGTTGAGAATAGATAACTGATATCATTTATCGAATAAGTTCAATAAAAGGGTGATATTAAACTTACATTGATAAAAATTTCGAAATATAAACGTATTCGTACACGAAATGCTCTATCGACTATAATTACTTTAAATATATTTTCATAATTCAAAGGGCAAAAAATTACTTGCAAAATTCATTATTTTGAAATATATTATCGAGATAAAACATGTGAAATACATTTAGATGAATTGATTCAATATATAAACATCGATTTCAATTTTAAAAATATACGTAGGAACAACATATCCATACTTCAATCATAAAACTCTTGATCAGGATAGAAATTCGCATACTCAAACATGGAACGTATTTGGCGAGAAACCAGAGAAAATATTCTAAGATATGAAATTTATAAAAGATTAAGTGCAAAATAGTATTATACATTTATATATTTTTTAATTTTATTTAATAAAATTTTTATCTTTCTTTTTTAAAATAAGTATCGAATATAATTGAATAATTGACATTAAAGAATTTGAAATTTCTATTTTATTTATATGATTCTTCAGACAGTGATTTATTGAAGCATTTCTTTAGGAAACAATAAAAGATTTTATATCAGAAAAGCCAATAATAATCAAAAGATAGAACAAAAAGTCATTGTATAGTTAAATTTGTGCTCCATTCATTGTTGACGTTGATGTAATACTTATTTTACTATTTTATTTTTTTACTTACAATTAAATGACCTTGCATTGGTGGTTGTTGAAATCATCCGAACTTTTAATTTTTCATTAAGAATAATAAAATATAGTTGTTTAAACAAAATATAAATAATTTTGAAATTTCTGAAAATATTCCACGTATAAAGAAATTATTAACATATCATATCCTTCCTTCTTTATCTTTATTTTGTGAATACAGTTTTATTATAACTTTTTTAGAATAATATTGAAATGTTTAAAATTATGTAATCTATTTTAATCCAAAATAATATTAAAAAAATATTTTTTCATATTTAAAAAAAAAATGTATTATTCTTAATAATTCAAATTTTATTTCAAATACTTACTATATATGCGTGCATGAATTGACCATTCATGATTCTGATATTTTTAATGTTCTGAAGAATGTGATTTATGAATAATGATATTGAATGCAACAAATCAAATTTTAACAAGATTAAAAAAGAATCCACTGCTCGAGTATGTCAATGTATACTACCGCGTGAAAAGATTCTCGATTCAGAAGAAGTGAACTACAAACTCGGACCTGCGCCATACATGCCTGATCAGATAAACGTTTATACTACTAATTTTACACGCTTACTTAGTAAGCTAAACAAGTAAAAAATAATTATAAATTTAAATGAATTATGAACTGTATATGAATTATGTTCTGTTAATCTCATCCATTTTATATATATAAAATTTTAAGTTTATACTAAAATATTTATTTTTCTTTGACTTTATTTATTTAATTATAAAAGAAAAAATTTTCTATAAATATGCAATTATTTATTTCTATTTAAGTATCAAATTTTTTATATTTTTTTTATGATTGTCCTTTTTTTTGTATAAATCTTAATAAAATTAAAAAAAATGTTTTCTTTATAATTTATTATTATATATTTACAAATTTGTTTATATTGCTAAAATTTATATTTATATACAAAATATATATAAATTGTACATAAATATATTTATATACAAAATTTATATTATATACAAAATATGTAAATTAAAATGTAAATAAATAAAATGTAATCTTTATTAATAAATTTTTGATATAAATAAATAAATAATTAATAATCAATTATATCTATTTATATCTATTTTTCATTATGTCTAGAATTAGAAAACAATAAATGTAATATATTTAATTTGTTTATTATCTTATTTGTTAAGTAAATAATTTTTGAAAACATTTTTCTTTAAATATTATTTGTTAATTTATGGAAAATTTTATTTTTTAATAAGATAACTTTCCTATGTTCTTTTTACTAATCGTTATATTTATTTAATAATCTTTTATCTTACTATAATTAAAATATTTTGTATTTATTTCATAATTATTTTGAAAGTACTATGAGTGAAAGTACTAACATAAAGTTTTACTTTTCTACCAAATTGCACGTTGTATACCAGATAGTTTATTATAATCAGCCAAATGTCGAAACATAATTCGTGATATTCTCCACCTCAGAACATTACCACGTGGACGAGAAGTTAATATACAACGTGATTGTATCTGTCTTAAAGCAGTTTGACGAGGAATTTTTTCATCTATTTCTTTACTAACAACTTCCTGAAAATAAAGTAAATAAATTAAAATTACTATAATGTTATTTAAGTATTATAAAATAAATTTCTTGATATAAGATTAAGATATTATATATTTTTAAGGTTATATAAATTACATATAATATACCCGTAATTCAGCTGGTAAAATATCATTCCTTTTCATAGCTAATAATCGTAATCGTTCAGGTGCATATTTTTCTATCAATTTTCTTCGTTTATTATCACGAATCATCCAGCGACCAATATTGTTATTACGTATTTGTTGAAACTAAATGAAGAATGTAGTAAAAATAAATTATATGAGAATCTAATTTTTATATATAAGAAGAAAAAATAGCATTATAATAAAATGATTAAAAATTTATTTTTACTTACGTTATAGGCTATAAAATTTGTATTACTTGAAAGAAAATTTGAACATTTTAACAAACCATTCCTTATAGCAGCCATATTTGGTTCAACAGCTGTTCTTCATAAAATTCACATACTAGAAAACATATATACATATATATATACATAAATTTATACATATATTGCATATATAAGGATATATTTATTAATATTTTATGATTATTTATTGTATTTTTCAAAATGAAAAGAAAAATAAAGTTTTTATAGATAACAAAAAAAAAATAGAAAATTTATTATTATTATTTAGAAAAATAATTATATATTATTGTTAATTATATTAATTATATATATTTTGTACAAATACAGCTATTTTTAATTTTAAAAAAATTTTTTTTATTAATTATACAAATTTTCAAAATAAATTTTTACATATAAATAGTATTTTATAATTTTAACTTTTTCTTTTAATACTTAAATATAAAATATATTTCTAAAGAACAAAGGATTCTATAATAACACGACACAATATAATGTTTCCGTAGCTCCTTTATTTTTTATTATTGTTATTTATATGTATGTACAGAAAACCGTTGTTAACCAATTTCAATCGGAAAATCGCGGATAAAAGTGCTGAATCATTGCAGATCATATTTCCGCACATACTTTTTTTAACATATAATGTGTAAAAAGATAAGGTAAATCTTTGTAAAGACATATATCGTAGAAAAATGTGGTGTATATAGTATAGCAGTTCAATTCCTCACCTAGTCAGGTAATTGGAAAGTAATAAAAAAACAGGTCCCATTTTCTCCCAACCAAATTCGTATTGGAACTACTACTTTTTCTTTTTCTGCTATTCAATCTTTTTTTTTTTACATCGATGTATCCCAACTCATAGTTAAAAATTTAAAAAATTGTTAATATTCTTCAATTAATTTTTTACAAATAATATCAGAAATATGAAGCATTTTACAATAAGGATGGCGATGATTAATTAATAATGACGGCAAAAAAATAATAATGAATGTTTTTCGAATATCGCAGATATAGGATTTATTTCCGTATAATAATTAGAAAATATAATTAAGCCGAGCTAAATTATGTTTTTGATGTTTTCATGTGAAACAGATATTACAAGTAGCTTTCCATAGTTCACTTTCTTTTCTCATGGAACTCGCGAGGCGAGAAAAGCATTGCTTATATACCATTGTCGATCATTCTTACCTTTCCTACGAAATTCTTTACGGTGAGAAAAGTGACGGAGTAACCATTTTGATAAATGGAATATACGAATATCAAAAAAATATGGCGAACGTGCAATTACATGCACAATAAATGCCAGTCGTCGCGATTCTTTACCGATTTTATTACTCTTAATCATTAGTCGCGATTTCGTTGAAAATATTTCAGTCTCCAATGGCAATAATGTAGCGCTGTTCTCGTACGAGAAACGTGAAGAAAGAAGGTAAACTACTTCAGCTACTATACGCCGAAGCCCATCTGGCGATACACATGTACGGAAACTAGTTATTTCTTTTTCTGGGCCTTCTCGGCAGCCTTGGTGACCTTGCCAGCAGCGTCCTTGAAAGTTACAGCTTTGATAACACCAACAGCTACCGTTTGACGCATGTCACGAACAGCGAAACGCCCCAAAGGTGGAAATTCTTGGAAAGCCTCAACGCACATAGGCTTGCTTGGCACAAGCATAACGATGGCAGCATCTCCAGATTTGATGCTTTTCGGGTTTTCTTCAGTGGTCTTTCCATTACGACGATCGCATTTCTCTTTGATGTCAGCGAACTTACATGCAATATGTGCAGTATGACAATCCAATACTGGTGTATAACCATTGCTGATTTGACCAGGGTGATTCAATACAATAACCTAAAATAAAAATAAAAAATATAAATAACTTTTCAAAAAATTAGATAAATATAAATATCTTATATATTTCTATCTATTTAATTTATATTATATTAATTTAAAATAGCACTCAGACGCCATCAACCATCAATAGATCCTAAGGATCTTCCGGTGGAAACCGCGAATGATGTTTAAAAATTCTCATCATTGTGCCAATTAATAAACAATATTTTACTTAAAATTTGCAAAATTATTGTATTTTTAATTCTTAGCATTTCATAATATACATACTTGTGCAGTAAAATCAGCAGCACCTTTAGGTGGATTGTTCTTTGAATCACCAGCAACATAACCACGACGTAATTCTTTGACAGATACGTTCTTGACGTTAAAACCAACATTATCACCAGGAACAGCCTCTTGCAATGCTTCGTGATGCATTTCAACAGATTTGACTTCAGTAGTCAAACCGGCAGGGGCAAATGTGACAACCATACCTGGTTTCAACACACCAGTTTCGACACGACCGACTGGTACTGTTCCAATACCACCAATTTTATATACGTCCTGCAATCATATTTAATGCTATTATTACCAATTTTTTAATACAAACATAATTTTAAAAAATTTTATTTTAATCAGACATCTCTAACCATCACCAAATAATAAAATTCTCCGGTGGAAACCGCGAATGAGCAAATAATGTTATCATCATAAAAAACAAATAAAAATTGATTACTTTATTATATTTTATTTAGAAATCTACCTGAAGAGGAAGACGGAGAGCCTTGTCTGTAGGTCTAGTAGGTGGAAGAATAGCATCAAGCGCTTCAATGAGACATTTTCCTTCAACTTTTCCTTCTTTACGCTCAACAGTCCATCCCTTAAACCAAGGCATTTTTGAAGAAACTTCCAACATATTATCTCCATGCCAACCAGAAATTGGCACAAATGCAACTGCTGCTGGATTGTAACCAATTTTTTTAATATAAGATGACACTTCCTTTTTAATTTCTTCAAATCGGGTTTCAGAATATGGTGGTTCAGTGGAGTCCATCTTGTTAACACCAACAATCAATTGTTTTACACCAAGAGTAAAAGCGAGCAAAGCATGCTCACGAGTTTGTCCATTCTTTGAAATGCCTGCTTCAAACTCTCCAGTACCAGCAGCAACAATCAATACAGCACAATCAGCCTGAGAGGTACCAGTAATCATGTTTTTGATGAAATCTCTGTGTCCAGGAGCATCAATAATAGTGACATAGTATTTTGACGTTTCGAATTTCCACAAAGCAATATCAATTGTAATACCACGTTCACGTTCAGCTTTTAGCTTATCCAATACCCAGGCATATTTAAAGGATCCTTTGCCCATCTAAAAATTAATTTGATTTTATTTAAAAATTTGTTATGTATAAAATTCTTAATTATTTCAGATTAAAAATTATAATCATTACTATATGTATAAAAAAAAAATCAACAATAAAAAAATTATAAAAAAAATATCCTATTTTTTAAAATATATGTAATATTGTAAGAATTAATTACTTACTTCCTGGGCTTCCTTCTCGAATTTTTCAATGGTACGTTTATCAATACCACCACATTTGTAGATCAAATGACCAGTGGTGGTAGACTTGCCAGAGTCGACGTGTCCAATAACGACAATGTTAATATGAATCTTTTCTTTACCCATGATAAAGTTTTTACGAGACTTTATTGGTTAACTCTGAAATAAATATAAAATATTAAAAAATAATAAATAAAATGAAATTTTTATTTTTTTTTTTGAAAACAATTTTAATAAAGATTATATTCATATATCTTTGTAAAAAAATATTTCAATATTTTGATAAAATATTTTTTTAATAATTGTTTTAAACTCTAAATTTTATTTAAAAAGATTAATTCAAGTTAATCATCGTTTATTTTTATTAAGGAAGCAGCAGGTGTTCGAGTTAAGGTCCACGTGGCGGTATCTGAATATTCGAGAACGAAACTAGCAGCCATTTTGTACATGGTAAGAACATTGCAACGTTGCCACAATTGCTTGACGCTTACTGTTGCACAATGCTGTTATAAATTATCTTTAATAATTTTCAATAAACGAAATTGTGCTATATATGTACATATTTACTATACTAATTATACTTAGAAACGCGCTTTAAAAGAAATATATATATTTTAATTGTAAATGATTTCACTATTTCTTATAATATATTTTTACAATATTAGAATAGTGTGAGTCAAATTTAATATTAATTTAATACAAAAAAAAAAAAAAAAAGAAATAAGAATATTAACAAATTGATAAATTATCACAAACACATAAAAAGCGGTATATTATGCAATTGTTATAGTTTATTGTTCAATTATCAAGTTTATCACTTATCGTTCTTCGATATAATTTTCACTTGTTACCACTTTGACACGGCAATAAATATTTTAACATAAACAAAAAAAAAAAAAAAGAAAAAAAAGAAAAAAGAAAAATGACTGATTTAACGATTCACTACATTGGAAATCAGCAAGCAATCTCCATTGTTGGCGAAGAATCGTCCCACAATGTCGTCATTGCATACGATTTCCAGTATACGTATTGTGTACCTTGATACTACGATTACAAAAATTTAAGTAATATATAGTTACTTCTCAATATATTAATTAAAATTATTTTTGTTAATATTTTTAAAAATTCGTAGATTATGAAGATTTTTCACTACAATTCCAATGATGTCTGAACTTGTGACCGTAACTCTCCAGTTCTGACAAGCGACCGCCATACTGCATCCGGTTATTTGCTTTTTCTAATTTTTTATAGTTTAAAAGTCACATTTAGTTATTCAATTGTTTTGTATCGTTTATTAATAAAATTTTTGTTTATAATTAACAATTAATCGCTAAATTCAACATGTTTTTTGAACGATATGACAACAATTTTAACAAGATCAGCATGTGGTCCGTATTCGAACAGCCGGCAAATATAGCTATCAACCACGCGCCCATTTTTTGATCTTATAATTCACCGAAAAAAAATAACATTTTAGTAAAACTGTTTTCACAACACATTTTGTCCGTATTTTGATCGTTGTTTTATTCCGTACCTGACGTCCGATGCTACCTTTTCGGTAAGAAAATCGACGGATTATACTCCTGTGCGTAAACCACGAACAACCACTCACCTCCAGATGCCACAACAGAAAGAGATCGTCCAAGTGAAGTGACATGCGCATACGGCTTCCCGACTATAGCCTCGAACCCAGCGCCTCCACCATATCGATCATTTGTGAAACAATATATTATTTTTTCATGTATTATTTATTCTTTTTACCATATCATTAATAATATTATAAATTTTGGAAAATAATATTCAATTTATTTTTTATAAATTCATAAAAAATTATTAACAGTAATAAACAGTGAAACTAAAGTTTTTAGGAGGATAAAACGCTGGGTTTGAGATTACGGTTACGCAGCAACAACAGGCGTACCAGAGATTCATATACATATATGTATAGGTAGGTAGTCCTAGAATGCATGCATGTGTGTAAGCATGGAATTGAAATAAAGATGGGGATACTCAACCACAGAATGTTAAGTTGATGCGTATAGGGATGCACATTTGTAATTTTTGATTTAATGCCATAACTCTTAATCCAAAAGATAATATGAAGCAATATTCTTTTCTTTCATTAGAGCATTTATTTAAAATCATTTAGATGAATTAATGTTTCGTTTAATAAATTTAATGCATCTAACATTTCAAAGTAATACAGATACATTTATGTACAGCAATCCAGGCAATATGTGATTGTTGTGAATGAAGAAATATGCTTATAATATATATATATACAAGTAAATTATATTTTTAAATTATATTTTTATTATATTTTATTTATATTTTTAAATTTTTTAAGAATATATATAATAAAAAAATAATATCTTAATATCTTAATTATTTTTTAATGAAATTTTAATATACGCTGATAAACATTAATTTTATAAATATTAATTTATTTTTTAAACATGATAAAATTTCTTTGATCATAAAATGATTAAAGATTAAAAATGAAAGACTATCATTGAAAAAATTACATCATTAAACGAGACAACAAGAAAAAGACAAGTTGAAAAACAACAGATTGTACGATATATATTACATAGTACATGAATGATATTGTTCCGGACATACAATAGTAATGCTTCCAGATGTACATGTACATATGTATCTTCCTATGCAGTAGGTTTATTCTTTTATTTCGTAGGCAATATAATGGAGTTATACAATCTTACAACATCTTTATGTAACGTTTAATATGCGTATAAAATTGAACTTTTCAATATTTTATAATATAAATTTAAAAATTTTTAATATAGTTAGTTTTTTTTTTTTAATTTTTAAACTTGTTCATTATTTAATGGGAAACATAATAAAATCGTTTCGTTACAGTTTTAGATTTGTTACAATACGATATTTAACCAATATTATATTATAATGCAATTTCTTTAATCTTTTATATTTTATTTCCTATTTTTTTTAATAATGTTAAATTTTTTAATAATGTTATTTATTTCGATTTTTTTGGTATATCACTCTTTAAAAAATTTATATTAGTATTTAATTAATAATATTTCATAACATTTAACAATATTTATGTTAAATTAATAATATTTAATAACAATAGTATTAAATAGTATAATATTTAATATAGGAATTTATTCATAACAATGAATTCAAAAAACATTTATTTTATATTTTATATTGTCGATATGCAAAAAAGAATTAGAGTTTATTGCGAGATATTATGTAATCATATTTTCTGTCCAGTGAATGATTCATTGAAAATAACGAGCGAATACGTCATTTTCTTGGTATACGAGAATAAATGATACTGATAATGATACCGATTGCAAAAAATATTCGTAAGATTTTGAAAACTTTCCTTATCTTTATTTATGTAAAAGATAGATAATAGATTATATTTTCGAACAAGATATAAATAAGAATAAAGTTCTAATTTATTTCTATAATCTATAACTATTTATATTTTCCATATTTATCCATACAATGAGTCAAATTTTAAAAAGATATGTAAAAAAAAGTTTCGTCAAGTGGCGCAATCTGCGTTTTGAAATACCTTTTCTATGAAACATTCGTTCTGTTATATATACGTTTATGATACATGACACTAAACTGCCTCATAGATATGATAAAATGTTACTTATTGATATATATGTATATATAAATTAAATACAAAACATTTATAATCAAAAACTGTAAATAAAAAATACTTTGACCTTCTTCTTAAGTTTAAGAATATTAAATTGTAAATATATCACTTTTAAAGTACAATAAAAATATAGAAATATATATATATATATATATATAAAGATGCAAGCAAATAATTAACCTTGATAATAGTCTATATATTTTTTATCAAAGAATAAAGATTTGATTATTTATTTACACCGCATTTGTTTTTACAATTGTTTTCAAGGAGTGGAATATGCGTTTATTATCCATGATTTATAAGGTAGAAAAAAAAGAAAAGGTAAGTTTTTTCCAAATATGGGCATAGGGGTGTTGTCAAAAAAAAACATCTTGCCAACTTCAATCGTCTATTTATATTTCTGAATTCCTACTGACATCCGATCGTACAGACACTCGCACGTGGGAGCGGCGTAGCTAAGTTTCGAAAATTTAAAAATAACTTCTATCGTCGAGGAGGAAACGGATATACGTGTAGAAATGGACAAAAATTTCACGCATATTCGCGTGGGTAGACATAATTTATGCTCGAGTAATGTAGTCGATGATACACGCAATGTATATACTCATTACGAGTATATTAATTGATAATTGGTTATGATTACGGTCGTGTTTCATCGTGATATTTTTTTCTTGTCGTTTTTCCCTCCCTTTCTTTTTTTTTATTTTTAAATTTTATTCCCATTACGATTCCCGTTTACTCGGTCGGTACTCCCTTTTTTGTTGACAGTTTACGATCAGCAACATAATACAATATGTTGCGTATTATTACCTTAATGCCGACGTTTTGGTCAATTCTTTATAATCGGAAGTATAGATTCTCACAATATCCGTCCACGCTCTTACATTCTCTCCTATTTCTTCCCCGTTCCCATTCTTTCTCGCTTCCTCTCTCATAATATGCACATATACATTTATTTCTTCATTCACGCATTAGTATCTCGCAGGCTTGTTATCTTTTATTGGAGCGATCGTAAAGTTGTGTGCAGGTGTGTAGTGTAATGTAATTCAGGCGTCGAAGAAATGCTGTATTAAAAAGAAGAAAAATGATTAAACTAAATTCGAGTACATTTCATGTTTTTTTTTCCCCGATTATTTTTTGTTGGAATTTTCAATGTTTTCATCCGCGTTTACGGTTACATTTCATGATTAATATTTTTCTGTCCCCATTTTCTTTTTTTGTATCGATTATTATTATTGTTATTTTTTTTTTTTTTCGTTTTTTTTCACAGAAATACCCGATAAACACCTTTTGCATACAACCCTGCACGTACTCCCTATACATTATTCATACTATTATCATATTGTATATTTATCATTTTATATCTATATTATTTATAATTATACTCCTATTTACAAAAAGTTGTTCATTAAATGTTAATATTCAATATCGCAACTGTTATTACATTATAACATTATTCCTGAGTGAAACCATTCATTAAGAGACTCGCCTCTTCTTTTTCTTCTCTCTCTTTCTTTTTTTTTTTTTATCATTATTTTATTTTATTCTATTTTATCTTTATCGAATAGCTTATTTAAAGCACTGAGAGATAAGAAACCGAGATAGCGAAAAACGATGAAATACGGAATGAAATTATTTTTTTAACAATTCTTTGATATCTGAATCGAAATGTATTCAGCTCGAAACACGGTGGATTTTTTTCAATCGTGAAATTCGAAGCAATTTGAAGTTTTATCGATTGCATTTATGTATGTATATTCTTTCTCGAGCTTTTATAATTTCTAATTTTTTTCTAGAACTTTTATTATAATTAAAATGCGTGTGTAAAAAATGGGAGCCGAATAAATTGTGTGTGTGTGTGTGTGTGTGTGTGTGTGTATTGATTGAATGAATATAAATGCGTGTAATTTATTGGCTAATATAAATAGAATAAATTTGGATCAAAATTTGAATAAACATATTTCTTCTTTATATTATTTATATAATTAATAAGATAAGTTAAGATATGGATTTATAGTTTAATTAATATTTTATTATCATTACGTTAATAATTCCAATCGAAACGAATAAACGAAGAATTTTCTGAATCATTTTGTGGAAAATAATACTAGAGCTAAGATTACAAGTATATTATTATTATTATATTATAGAAAAATCGAGTTAAGGAGAGATTAATATGAATGAAAAAAAAAAAAAAAAAAAAAAGAAAGAAAGAAAGAAAATAGTTTTAATTTTAAAACATTATTGAATTTGCAAGAAAGATCTATAAATCGACGAACATTTATTTCGATAAAATGAAACGAGATGACGGATGTGTATACCCACGTTTAATTGACAATTAAATGGCATCTTATTTTATATAATCTCGTGAATATTAACATTTAACAATTAATCATCATCGAATCAATATGTAATAAAATTTATCCTCTTAAATTCTCTAATAAGAACGTGATAATTATTATCGATTGAACAATACAAAACACGCACAATCCAAATGAAAATTTTCATTATTCAACCATAAAGATAAGGTAAACATCGATCAAGATTCATCTTCGTTTTTGAAGGAGAACAATCCGTAGGAAAATGGAAGGAAGACAATCTGTGAATCTTATGGCAATCAACTTCTTTATCGTATTGAGATAATGATCCACAAAATGATTAGAGAAATTCTCGCGAGCAACAACAATTGAACTATAATACGAATCGTCGATTTATAACACATGCATATTCTTGTTTAAATCTCTTGTTTAATAATAATAATAATAATATTAATAATAATAATAATAATAATAATAATAATAATAAATGAAATTAAACATCACATTATATAAATATAATTTATATATATTTATAATTTATATATAATATATATATATATTATATATATATAATTAGACAAGAATATGAATTAGGTGAATTAGGGTTGGTTTCCATGCACAAGATATTAATTCGAATGGCTATAACGGGAATCGATCGACCGAAGATCGAAGATCGATATGACTTATTTCAACAAACTTTCACGAGTCGTATCCCCCCACGAGTCGTGTTGAATAAACGCGGGGGCGCCCCTTGCAAGCGGCAACACATCTCAGTTTTTTCCCGCTTTTTAACACCGATAAACATCTCAATAAAATCAATATCATGCAAACAGTCGTGAGGACTAGATTTATTTAGTCGCGAAGATCGTTCTCGAAGAATTATATTTCTATCGATCGTGTAAATTCGAATTTCTCAAAATCGAATAAAAACTATGGCGAGCAGGAGCGAACCCGAATATCGCGAATCGTCGAATTTACTCCTGGCACGCGTCAAAAGTTTCAGAGACACTACATCTTTTTTTTTTTTTTTTTTTTTTTTCACCGCACCATCCTGGTTATATATATTTCTATTCAATTTATTTTTATTCGTGTGTCGTCTTTTTTTTTTTTTTTCACTCTCTTCAAAATACATTGCTTTTAATTTGACGGCAATCAATGAATAAACGATAATTTTATAAGAAATGTAGAAAGTAATAAATACGTCTTTGTAAATGATGCGTAATATTAAATGAAGAGCTACGTTAATACGATTTTAAATTTTTTTTTTTTTTTTTGCATAATAAGACACTTTTATTAAGATGGGGGCCTAAAATATCTAATTACAAATCTAGTATCTCTGAAACGATATTCGTATATATGATAAGATATCGGAAGGCTTATAATATTGGATAAGTTCATAAATTGTTCATCAGCAGTTTCAATGCTGTGATTCGGAAATATTTTACATTATGAAATAAGAAGGCTCAGAGCAACAGGCTAAATGATAAAATAAAAAAAAAAAAAGAAAAAAACATCTTCCGTTGAGATGCACATTACGATAAATAAATAAATGATATAAACGATAATAAAATAAATTATATTAATGTAAAGTATTTAGTTATTTATTAAATAATAATAATAATAATAATTAATTATGAACGTACACGTATCACAGCCATTTAAATAGCCTAGAATTTTTACATTTATAAATGTTATGAGTGTCGAGGCAACGAAAATGAAACGAAACATATTGTAACAACGATAATTATACGAAAACATACAATACTAAGCCATGCGTTGCTCGGAGATTATCGTTGTCCACAGCATTCTCTCAAGGCTGTAATTAAAAGTACGCCGACATACATATACGTACACAAATCATGCTTATAAATTTATTATAATAATAATGTAGATAATAATTGTATAAGTAAGGCTGATTAAACGCACTCCTTTCCTTATTCGAATGCGACCGTGTATTCTCTCTCCATTTTATTACAGTCACAGTAAATCATGCTCCTGTATATCTCGAATTGCACCCACAATCAAAATGGATACTACAGCGTTGCGCGTCATGCGAATAAATCAATACTTGATCAGGAATAAATGCTATCACGTATAAAACTTTATAAAATGAAGAGAGAAAGAGAGATTAGTCGTTCCAGTGTGTTTTCTCTATGCGTGATGTATCTTGCGATAATGTATATAGGACTAGGTTATTCAATGATTTCAAAGTTTTTTCTAGTTTTAAAATGTGGCAGTAGAATAGTACACCTCGTATACCTCGTCGCAAATATGGATTAACTCGATAATATGTATATATATAAATATTATTGTTTGTTGTTTCACTTGCCAGAAAAGTCAATTATACGACGAATATAGAACGAGTCGTAAAGATAAAAATAATTCTATTATGGTGATGGAGAGTAAATATTTTTCGTAAAAAGTGAATTAATAATAATGGAAACAAAGAAAATCTCATTCAATTTTCAACATATTCTGCACACAACTTGAAAATTTTAATGTTTTTATATTTTTGATATAATTTTTTTATCCCTTCGAGTTATTACATTTTTGCTTCAAGATAAGGTTAGGTTATTGGATATCGATATATCTTACTAATTATTTCCTTAGACTTTGCGATCTATTCTTGATAATATCTATCGCTGTGAATATCATACAGATGATATAAGTCTAGAATCCCGCAAAATCTTTCGCTTGAAATACGTTCTTCTATTCGAAGATAACTAGATAACTTATGCATTATACTCTGCGCATTTTTTTTTCTCTCTGCCTCCTTTTCTTTTTTCTGTCTTTAGAAATTACAGGTTTCGTTCGTTAAATCGAAATGTTTTTTCTTTTTTTTTCGTTCCAAGCGATATTATGTGCGGTTTACTTACAAAGTGGAAAGTGAACGTTAAAAAAATGTATTTAACTATTAAAATCTATTCAATGATTTATAAATACTAAAAAAGTCGCTATTCTTATTATAAATCGTTTCGTATTTTGTAGTTCAAAGGATTTATTCTGCTTTCATCTTTATTTTTTTTTTCTATAATATAAACAGTCGAGTCTGTTCATTTCCCCCGCAACTAAATATTTGTAATATTTAATGAGTATCTATGTCATGTATAAATATTAATAATGAAAAATAATTCTTAAAAAAAAAGAAAAAAATATATATATCAATAAGAGTTTTAGTTTTCGAATATTCATATTTTCAAAAATCGTGACTAGAAATTTGTAAAATTCTAAATATTTTAATAATTCTATTTTCTTAAAGAAAGTACATAGTTGAAATTGCATTAGCAATAATTAAACAAATTTTATCGATGAAATCTATGTCAAAAGTGAGGGAAAAAGGAGAGGGAAGTTGTGATCCCATTTCGATTCTTCATACCTGGAAAAATTCGGTCCCGTTGAGGTCCTCGAAGAATAATAGTTCGTTAATCCGAGGACAAAGAATTCTATATCATCATTCATCTGAATTGAACTTTCAAAGCTCAATTATGATAATATGACTCGTTATGAATGTTTTTATTCTGGTCGAAATATATATGTAAGTACTATATTCACGTCCGTAGTCTTTATCTATTTGGGTATATTGAAAGGAAAAATGTGTAAGAAAATGAGACTGTGTATTAGTAAGATTCAATTTCATCGTGTAAATTATTTTATGAAAAATTTTAGCACTATTTTTGTACTAAACTTCTTCTATTAATTGGAAGCAATTAACTTAATATTCATTAAAATGAAAATAATTTTACAATAAGCGAGATGCATATGGAAATCGTTTATACTACTCTCGTATTCCGTATATAAATATTGAAAACAATATATGAAAAATAATGAGCGGAAATGAAAGCAGAAATCGGAAGCAATCATGCAGATGGTGGCTTTAGTTGGTCCCGAACATGAGTTAGTCAGGTTTGTGTACAAATCTCTGTTGATAATTAAAATATTTTGAAATACTTACAAAGCAAATATAATCCATATATTTGTAATTAATATATCCAATTTGTTTTAATAATTGCACGTGGTAAATAATATATAATAGACAAACTATTTCTTTTTCATTTAATTATCAAATCTCTCCTATGATTAAACTTTTTTAAGTAAACATCAAATTTAATATAATTTTAATAAGAAAATTTAAGAAAAAGAAACAATAAAAATAACAATAAATTAAAATAAACACGATTTCTGCACAAACCTATTCTAAAAGTCGCGCATGGAATCGTGTCGATCGTTGCATTACGGATCTCAGCTCATGGCAACACTGCGCGTGTCGAACGTAATATAATATCTCTCCCTCTTTCACTCTCTCTTTCTTCTCTTCACTCTTTCGTTCGAATCTTTCTTTCTTTCTCATTCTCTCATATAGCATTTTAAACATTACGAGTTATCTATTAACCTATACGGCCCTACGATATACGGATGAATGTTCCTTTGGCAGTTTATTTACATGCAAGTTGAGCTACGGCGCCGAAAATATCATACGGCAACAAATTTCGATGTCAAGCAATCTGTGTACGGAACATTTTGAAAAGTTATGACACGTTAAAATCAATAGATTTTTTCGTGCATCGAAGTTATACTTTTGAAAATGCTTCGACTTAGATGAAGAGTATCGTTGTTGAATATTAGTAAGTTGATTTCCAAAATTTTTGGTATAAATCGTTTAGAAATTTTACACATAATATGAGAACTTGAAATAGTACAATAGAGTGTAAGAAAGTGTAAAATGTTCCAATCTAATGTTTCCTTGGTTTTTATTTATTTATTTTGAAAATGTTTCAATTAATTTTTATTGCATTATAAAAAAATTTTTTGAGAAATATTTATCAATATTTGTTACTTGTATTATTTATAATCTCATTACTAGTCTAACATTAGTGAAGGAAATATTAGATTTGTATTATATAATTTTAGTTTATAAATCCAATATAGCATAACACTATTATATTTTTAATAAGAAATGTATTATAATAGTTTATAATGAAGATTAAAAATTATTTTTTAATTGATAGCTTCAACAAAACAACACTCTCCATTTACCAACATAATCCATAGCTCAACTGCAGCTACCATAACCATGTTATTTACAGAAACAGTACAATCATATAATTGAGATATCTTGCACTACTAGTTCCATTTAACTTTGTACCCCCATTTTCCTCGTCATTTTCACTGGCAGTGTCTCCTTTTGCCTCAACAATAGTATCTAATCGTTCCATTGTACTCCTTTGATGATGATGACTACTTGATAAGTCACTTTCAGGTGTCTCATCTGAATCTACATCAATCATATGATCATTAACTTGTATTTTTACTACAGCATCTACTGGGTATTTTCCTTCATCGCTGGATGATGTTCCTCTTTGCGATCTACTTGATAGTATTCTTTCATTTTTCTCACAACGAGGACAACTTTGACCATTTGATGAACCTTCATCACTCTGGCATCGGAAACATATTAAATCACCTTCGCTAGAAAAATCGCAATGTTCACATTGAACAATATGACCATTTCCATGACAAACTTCACAAACAGGACTGTCATCATCCTGCTTTAATTCTCTGTCTTCATACTCTCTTCGATCAAATTCTTGTTCATATTTCTTTGACCAACCTCTTCGAGTTTGATATTCTTGATCACGATAAATTGATCTAGGTGAAGATGATTGACCACTATAATCTTGATCATGATATACTAACCGAGGAGAAGATGTATGGATTGGGCTTTTGTATGTGCGAGAAGTTCCTGGTTCTTGAAGTCGCTCGTCAAAACGTTCCTCGACGTATCTACTACTATAAGAACCAGGTGTTTGTGGTCTGTATGTGCAGGTACGAGTTTTCTGATCACATTCACTGCATAGCAATAAGTTTGATTTACTGCCAGGCTGAGAAACATAACCATTACAAGTACCATAATATTTCTCGTCTTCGTCACTTTCAAAGAAATGTTGACTGAGGCTACCTATTGATTTTGTATCACTAGATCTTCCAGAGATTCTAGCTTCTTCAAATTCTTCTCGATCATCTGCTGTATATCTATAAAAAAAATTTATACATATGAAAGAAGATCAGAAAAATCGTTCCAAAATAATTATTTTAATATTATTCGTTTATGTATTCACATACTTAGCAAAGTACTTTACCTATCATCCGTAGTTTCAGACAAATAATGTCGTATTCGCCCTATTTTTGTTTTGCCGCGCTCTCGCGGCCTTGTTTCTTGTTAAATGATACTTTCTCGATTTCTTTCATTGTTATCTTCTAAACTGGAAGACGAGCTAGCACCGCAAATCTGCATCTCGATTTCGGCCAATCGATTTTCTACTTCCCATTGTTGTTGATTCAATTTAGCACTCATCGCAGCATTTTCAGACTCCAAACAAACTAGACGTTCTCGAAGACGTTTAATTTCGGCTAATAAAGCTTCATTAGTGCCTAAAAGTGGTGTGGCACCTTCGCCGACTAATTGCGTCATGCTGTTGCAGGTTATTCCTAGAAGATTACCAGTCAATTAACTCTATATATAATATATATCAATTAAAAGTATAATATATATGTATACTTTGACTGATATATGTAATATTTATATATTAATATTCATTTTTATAAATTATATTCAATTTATATAAATTAATTTGTTTTTTAATAAAAATAATACATTATGGAATAAAATAATTCAAATTGAAACTGTTGCTTCATTAAAGAGGAAAGCAGTGTTATTTGAAATGTAAATGTTTACGATTAAAATGTATGAGCCAATAACCCTTTAATCACTTATGAGTAATACCATTTTATGACAGGGATTCGATATTATCATATTCGGAATATATTACTTGCATTATATATGTATTTTATGCGTTTTGCCATTTATTTTCTTATTCAATTACGCAAGTTCGTCTATTACATTACGTAAAATATCATATATTAAACATCGATATGAATTTTTATAAAAAAATGTGTTTTATCATTTATATATGGATAAATTATTAAGATTTAAATAGACAAAAAAAATCTAAATTGAACAAAACAAATATGCATAAAATAAAATGTATTTTTAATAATTTTTAATATCATCATTTATCTTCGAAAAAACTAATGTTATAACAGATTCTCAATTCATTTTTGTACAAAGTTTCATATCATGTTTTTACAAATCCTGTCGATCGTCGTCTTTTACACGAGCCAATCAAATCATGCATAGAGCAGTTCAATTCTTGGGGAGCAAGATTCTTTCGTGATTTAACATCCATTAAATTGCAAAGGAAAAAATTCGTTCAATCTCAAGATCTGAGAAGAAAGAGAATCGAGGTCGAAGAATTCAGAAGGAGGGCGGTATATTTCCACTCGGTGGCGTTCAAGATGAAATACTTGCCAGAGTGGGTGGATTGCCTGCCGGTGGAGGGCTGTGTGGCGGATTGCGGTGCCCTGGTGGTTTGATCCTCGCTGCTGTGGCCGCTGCTAGTGGCACTCATCGGACTATCCATGCTTCTCGCAACGTTGTTCACGTTGACGTTGGTGCTGGCCAAACCACGCGACGTCACAGGACTCGGGCTGGGGGAGAACAACGAGTGGCCGGTCGAGTACGCGTGAGTGGACTTTGTATCCACAGGCGAAACCCACATCTCCTCCAATGGTATACGACCTCGTGACTCCACGAGTCCTGGCGTGCTTTGACATCGACCCATTGCAGCTGCAAGTTTGCATCGTAGTCGTAAAATGTGTCAGGACAGATGTATCGAGTTCGTTTTCAGGGAAGCAATGTTGTTTGTAATGGAAGTTGAATTAAGAATCTTCTCGTGTTGAGGGAATTGCTTATAGGACGTAGATCATTTTATCAAATTCATTATTTTTAATTGAGAAATGTTATAAAAAATGTTTTTTTCTTAATCAATTATTCATTAGTTAGAAAATTAATATTAATTAATTTTTCATAAGAGAAACATAATATACAAACATGTAATACCAATTTTAATGAAAATAATTGAATATAAAAACTGTGTCCTACAATTTAAGGTAACTGGAATTAATGCGTTTTAATTTTAATACCGCTCGAATAAATTTTATAGAAATTCTGTTCTGTTTTATTTCTGCGGTAAAAATTATATTTATTTATTTTTCTTTTTTTTTATAAAAATTGTTAATACGAGATAAAAATAAAAAAAATGAAACGAAATTAAAATTTTTTATTTATGAAATATTATTACTTTTCGTCATACTTTTATAAACGAATCTTATCATAGGCATTTATCGAAAAACTTAATTTGTAAAGTTAAATTGAAAATTAATGTAATATACATCCACATAAGATACATTTTTTTCCAAATCAATGTATAACTTTATATTTATACGTTTCAAACAATGGTATCCATATTGCGGCAAAATATAATAAAGTTGAAACATATGAACGAATTCTTCATTATTCCATGTCGAGTTGATTCATGAGTGTGATCTCTTTTCTCTTTTATCTTTCTTTTTCTTTTTCTCAAATTTCGTCTCAAGCTTATTCGCTTTGTTTTGTGTTCGAGTCCTTTGTTCAAGAATAGGCTTTGCAGATCCAGTTGCGCTTCGGCAATGACGTCTAACCGCCTCTCATTTTCACCACCGCGAGCTTCTTTAATTAAGCCACAGCCTTTCTCATTGTGCAGTCACTGCAGTGTCGAGCACGCGCACGCGCTTCAATACACGTATATGTGTCTATATGTGTTGCACTTTACTGCCTCGAAGTAGATACGTATACATGTACATATGCATGTATGTGTACACGATACGATTCTCCGGTTCGAAAGTCCGTTAGTAACTTTCTTTCAGCGAAAGAACAACACGAAAGAACCGCGAATAGGAAGATGAGTTGCATTTGTTTTGTTTCAACTTATGGATTAATTAATTAAAGTTTTATGGTTTAGACACGTTTGTTACCGATACACAGTAAGATTAAGATTCTTTTGAGAATAGGATTTAATGTTTTTGTTCGTTCTTTGTTCGACTTCGTGGCGAGATCCTTTCTAACCTCTACTTTATAAAATTCTAGATTAACATTAACATTATTATTGTGATTTAAAAAATTATTTTTATATAAAAAATTTTTAATTTTTGTTTTATAAAACAATTATCGATTTGTGTTCTGTCTTAAATAGTTATTAATAATTCAGACTATTAAATAAAGATAGGAAAATATTTATAAAATTATACTTACGAATTTTATTGAATTAAATATGTACATATAACACTGAACTACTTGTAGACAGGACACTCATTTCTTGCAAATATAATACACTGATTGGTTTTCACCGAAAATATTTTCATTGAAAATATCTTATTAATATGCTTTTATAATACCACGAAAATCTTTTTATGCTTTCGGTATTAATTAGTTCAGCAATTATTTTCAAATTGTGAGATCATAAATCACTCAATCATAATAATATCACTGATAGATGCCACTATATATATTCTTAACAGTACTGATATTCAGGACTGTATAGAGTTTAAAGTTATATTTATATGCTAAAATGTGAAGCAATATAATCGGTTAATTTTTAATTTTTATTATTTCCTTTTCTGCCAATCAATATCATTATATTTAAATCAATTTGAATATGTTTAAATAAAAGATTTTTTTAAATACTTTTTTATGTTCCAATTTTTTTTTATTTGATTAATTTTATATTAAATTAATTTTATAAATTTATTTTTTTATATTTCTAATAGATATTATTGAAACAATTAATGTATATTATACAATGTTTCAATTTTCGCGCAATTTTGAGTGGATAAAAATCCACGCCGCTCTTAGCCAATTAGAAAGTAACTAGAGAAACTTGTGGAATGTTAGTAACGCAGTGTCATTCAGTCGAAAACTATTGTGACGATATCGATTTAAAGTATGTGTTTTAACTATGCAGTAAGTACTAATTATTTAATTTTATTCCTATTATATTATCGAATTCAGATTATCCACCATAGTATTCAAATTTCAAATGATTCTATTATAATTAATGGACGTGATAAACAATATTGTTCGATCAATTGTTTGGATAATTTTGTTAGGTTATAAAATTAACAATATATATATTCTTACCTTTCTCGAGAGGAGCTCTCTTGTATTTTTCCAATCTTTTCACTGCAATGGCTTCTAGTCTGATCCTAGCCGCAGGATACTCCTTTAATACATCCCACATATCCTTCTTACTAAGGACGAAAAGGTCCGAGTAGCCCACCGAGCGTACACTGGCTGTTCGTCGGTTACCTGCGTTGATGTAGCCATTTATTGGTTATCGGGATGCGTCAAGCTTTCTTTTGTATCCGCTCAGGAACGATCGATCGATCGTTCCTTCATCCCACATTAATACTGTGATCCTACCTTACAAACGCCGATATTAACCTAACCTAACAATACATTTTCAATACCATATCAAAACATAACCTTGGCTTATAAGCCGTAAAAATCATGCTTGGCAAAATATCATTGAAAATTGACAAACTACGTGAAGATTTATTTGTGTGTGTGCGCGCGCGTTTAATTTAATTTTATTTTCTTCAGAGAGAATGCTACATATATGTGATATGTAAGTATATATATATATTAAGTTGGTCTATACGAAATATATGAAAATTTGACTTTCTGCCGTAGAATTTTGATGTTTTTTTTCTTATACATAGATTTTCTTATTAGCAAATAAAATATTATGGAATTAAAAAAAGTGTAGCATTTTGAAGAATTTATAAATTTTAGAATCGTTGAAAAATATATATAATCATTTTGTCGAAATATATGGATATAGAAATAATGTGTGATTTTGATTGAGAAATCCACATTTCACATATATCAACTTATTATTTATTAAAAAAAAATATTAGTATTTAATATGTGTCAATTTTCGTAAAATTTTACGCGATCAGATCAACTTAACCTTACTTTTTCCAATTCGTATTACTTTTATATTGTAAGAGAGATCTTCTTTCCGAATCGTATTTTCTAAGTGCTTATAAAATCATGAACAATGAAAAATATTGAAAAATGTTAATCAATGTTTAAATCTAACTACACATTTATATTTAAGTAATAGAAATATGAGATTGAATGTGAAAATATATTGAAATTGTACATATCGATTTAATTATTGACGGTGCGATTTAATTGTCAAAGTGAGTAAAAGGAAATAATTTACTATACTTTAACTCATAAAGACAAAGAATAAAATTTATTTATTTGCGTAATGTGTAAATAATATTCGAACATGCAAAGAATCTGTATTGTACGTAGGCAAATATGAAGGAATGTGTATTTATTTTAAAACTGATTGACGGGACGTTCTATCGATGACTAAAATGTAAATACACTTTTCGTTTGTGTGCGTATATATGATGCGATATAGGCAATATTATAGATTGTATGGTTTTATTCGAAACAGATGAAAAATATATATATGTTGAAATTCGAATGTTTTATGAGACAATATAAAAATTATAAATTATTGATAATTTGATAAAAATTTAATTTTGATTCGTTGGTGTTAATTAAATATAATAAACTAAATTATGAGGCAACATTGATATAATTTAATAATGATTGTCATATATTTTAATAATAATTAATTTTATATATATGTATATATATGTTTAAATTTTTATGTTTTAAATTTATATGTTATTGTTAATAGATTTTTTTCTCTTTTATATAAAATAAAATTATAATTATAAAATTTTTATATTCTATATTTTTCCTAATAAGTGTAATATTAAATATCTTTTACATTTTTAACATTGGTAATATTAATTTGGTAGAAATTGATCTTCCTAGTGAAAAGTATTGATATTTATGGATTGTCTAATATAATATAGGTAACTAACTACGATAATCAATGAATATAAAAAATATGAATACGAAAAATAAAATCAATTCCGAATGCAGATTAGACAGAATCGTGAAAAATATAATAAGATATAAATAGTGCATTTCTATTAAAAAAATGAACATAAAATGAAGGAAATATTTATCATATTCGAAAAATTACTGTATTATTAATGCTATGACTGAAATTATTGTTTTCATAAATATAAATTTTGTTATTCGAATGGATAGAAAAATTTATATTTTTCTATAAAAATATTGCGCATATATTTATATATTAAAAAAAAAAAAAAAGAAAATAAACATTGAGAGAAAGAAATAAATTTATGAAAAGAAAAATAATGGCCAGTGTGAGACAAATAGTGGAGAGAAAAATAACGGTACAAAGAAAATTACAATCGATCTCTAAAATTCTTTGTTCTTTGTTCCGTCGGTATATCTGTGCGCAATATCCATTGGCGGCAATTTACCGCTATTTGTTCATTTTCGACGATTGATAAATTAATCGAATTTGATTGACGATACGATTCAAATTAATATTCGAAATTTCACAATTTCTTGTACAAACGAAACGTTTGTTTCGCATGGATGATTCGCAAATATTTCCTTCCACGTAATGTAGATAAAAACAAAATATAAGATCGCAAAGTACGATACGTGTTAGCATGTCATTAAAAGCGAATTGATCGACAAAAAGAAAAAACCAGAAGAGAGAAGAAGATTTAAGGGATGCTGAAAAGATTATCCGTCTAATTATCAAAGATGGATCGATTTCTAAACTAAAATATTCTAACGTATACTACGAAAGCGTGATAGAATATGAGTGAAAGTATAGTGTGTCCCAGAAATACGGAGATACAATCAGAAAAGGGATGATCAAATAAGCGAAGAGAGAGGAAGAATCATTCCCTTTTCGTTTGCGATTGCTGAGCCACTGTGTGTATATGTGTGTAACTCCGTTGATTTTAGATCGATCGACCGACAAGACCCGTAAGATTGATTTTTTTTTTTTTCCCCATTGCGGCTCGTATTTTCGGCACGGTAGTATTTTTATCACGGTCGAGGCCGTGTACAGCTTCCCGTTATAAAATATCGTATATTTTCGTACGATATCCATTACATTGCAGTAGGTCGTGTTGGTTTATCGGCTGGAAGACAATAATCGATAAAAACAGAGGGGCAAATGCTAAAGGGCAATACGTGTCACGAGCCTTATTCAATACGCATCGACGATCTCGCAACGACTTCGTGCCATTGATTTCATTTTAATTCCATGCATCTATTGTTCTCCCGACGAATTGAAAAAAAAAAGAAAATGGCAACATGTAGTAAGAAAAGGTTATGTTCGAGCATATGTCTTCCTAGAGAAACTATGGAGGAGAGAATTAAATGGAATTTTTAAACCCGACGATTCGTACGAGCGTGAATATTCATGGGAATTATAAACAACGTACGTCCCTTCAAAGTTTTCATTCAATTTTCGTACGTTAACGTGTATTTTTTTTCCCCCTTTGTTTCGTCATATTTTGCAAGAAAAAATAAAAAATAATCTCTTAGAATAATTATTTAATAATTCGTAATTGTATCTTCATCACGTTAATTTTCCACATAATTCGAACGTAGGTTGAAACGCGATTTGATGAATCTGTTTAATGATAACGAATGGAAAGAGACAAAGATAAACAAAGGATGGATACTCGAATCGGAATAACAAAGTGAGTTAGTTAAGATCTTTTGAATAGGCAATAGCTACCATTGATACCATAGCATTGGAAAATCTATTTACTCTTTACATTTATAGATTTTAAAACATTTAAAATTTTTCGTCAAATATATAAAAATATTAAAAAATATTATTTATTTCGTGTTGCGTGACCGTCGATCGTAATAGAAGAAAAATCAACAATAATGGAATATCGGATAAAATGATAAAAGAGTGACGAGAGAGAGAGAGAGAGAGAGAGAGAGAAAAGAGTTATTAGAAAATTCGGTTTTTAGATCGGCTCATACCGGCTCGACGGCTTGCCTCTCACAGAGTAGTAAGAACGTGAAACGTGATAAACGTGATCGTGAAAACACGAGAGGGGGACAGCTGACGGGCCCCTGGTCCGCTTGGAATATTTACCGCACTCTTTACCTGCAGTCCTCATATTGAGAATGCTGATCTCCCCGAAGTAGGAACCAGCCTTAAGGGTAGCGAGAACTGTCTTCCCGTTATCGGCCACCACCTGTAGTCGCCCTCTGTTCACTATGTACATCTCCTTCCCTACCTCACCTTAAACAGATTTCATAATACGAATATATATGAATAACCAATTTTTAAAATTAATTTTCCATTAGGGATAATAAAAGAAATTCTTAAGTTTTAAAAACAGGATCAATTGGAGGATCGTAAAAGGCGAAAAATTATTTACCGATTTTTCTCTTTGCATTTTGTACAACGATTGAACGTTCTATACTTCTCTACTTCTAACGCGTCACAATCCTTTATCCTAACAACCTAGTTAGTTAGTCTGCTTGTTGTATTACTTAACGGAGATTAGACCTACATCACGAGATGTCAAAACTTAATTTTCTATGTTATGTGTACTTATTAACTTTTCCTATTACTGTTAAGAAATAAAGTTTTAATTATCGTTATAATTAGTACATTTCAAGTGTAAAGTTTAATTTTAACCGCGGCGTACGACGTATCGCGTAGTTTTAAAAACCGAAACGAACGTTAGAAGAGAAGGATACGGTATGGAAACGGTAGCGGCATCTGTCGTCTTTCAGTAGTAACGGTCAGTCATAAGTTGGGCTAAGCTTGCCAACTGCGCGGCAGTGATGCACTTCGAGAAGAGGTCGACCATCAAATGGAAGTATCTAGAAAACAGTGACTGTTCCAATGGATCGTGCGACGGTCGTTTCCACGCCGATGAAGAGCGCTGAGTCAACGACTCTTCTCTCTTTCTCTTCTCTTCGTTTCTTTCGTTCCTCGTTCTTCTTAGAAAAAAAGGAACGTTATTTGCCCGACTGCTCCTGTTCGTTTACACAGTCCATCAAGGAGAAACAATGACCAATCGCGTGTCCAACGGTAAACTATTCCGATGCTCGGTCGATTTTAATTAAAAAATTTAAGTCGGTGATTTCGAATTTGGGATTTATTCCTTTCTTGCATAATCTTTCTTTCCAATTCTCTTTTTTTTTCTCGATCGATAATCGATCTTCTATGACTTGAAACTTATCCGAAAAAATGCTAATTTAATCATAGAGAAGTTTTCGAACGTTTAATGATAGTTTCTTATCGTTTGTTTTAACAGTTCAGAGTTATCAAACGCATTCAGTTTCTCGCTTAAATCGTGCCGTTGATAAACGGACGTGAAGATAAGATTTTCGCACCGGTCGAAGCTACAGTCCGAAACTCTGCTCTCCTTGCGTTTCCTTACGCTCACGGATACGCCTATCCTTTCGAATAAAGTATTTCTCGCTCGTAACTGCGCGCCTTCTGGGCACGGCCATTGGCAACGAGGCCAAGTGGGAAGGGTAGGCAATCGGTTTTTCGAACCTCTGCCAGCCAGGATACATCTTTTGGCGCGGTTCCAGTTGCTCTCGTTCCAAAAGCTTCCAGTGTCCAGGAAAAACGTGTCGCGACGTGTAAAAGCGGAAGGAGAGGAGGAAGAAGAAAAGGAAAAATTAATAGAGATGGTTATTACCTTTGCGACAAATATAATCGCCAGGTGAGAAAAGAACGGGTCGCAATCTGAGAACTAGCTCGCACAAGAAGCCAGCCTCCGTGTTCTGGAATATTTCCACTCTCCGCAGCGTGTCCAGGTGCACGTTTATCGCGATTTCGGCTTTCAGTTTGTCTGCAACGTTTATCCCAACTAATTATTAAAACTTGGAAAACTTCTTCATCTCTTTGTTTCGCGATATTATCGAGGGATGAAGATACTCTCGAAGGGATTTTATAACAATATTATTATATTTTTATATCTCTTTATATTTCGATGTTTGATCTAAATAAAAATCAAAAAAACTTTACTCGCGAGTGCAAGATGAAATAAGATTGCAGTAACGAAAAAAAAAAAAATAAAATAAAAATAAATCTGATGGAATGAATCTTAACACGCGATTCACATGTATGAGAAGAAATAAGGAGAGAGGTAAAAGCATTTATGCAAAAATGATGCAAATCCTGTGGAATAAATATATATAACGAAAAAAACACGTTCATTCATTCATTCGATATTTTTTTCATCTTTAAATTTTTTCTAATTTTTTTTTTTTTTTTTTTTACACTAGACAAACATACATTTGCTCTATCTAGAATTTTTCTTTTTCGAACAGAGGAAAACTTACCGGGAAGACAGCTGACGGCTTTCTCTTCGTCTGAGCATTTTTGCGTCAACCATAAATAATCAAACCATTTGATCACCTTCACCTGAAGATGCTTCGGCACTCTTCTCATCCTCATGTACGTTTTCACACCATCCAATTTTGCTGTAATCAGAAAATAATTTTCTTTTATTGATTTTTTCCTTTATCGAATTTTTTTTTTTTTTTTAAATATATATTTGTCAATTATACCTCTACACCGATTACATCAACGTAGTAATAGTAGGATGTTTCAGTCGGAACAAAAATCAGTATTAATTGAAAATTTCACGCAAGAATATCTCTGCTCGTGATTCCTGACGTGATGCTTGGATTAATTAGCGATCAAATGGGAAAGTATATATATATATATATATATATATATATATACACTCGAGATATCTATGGATTCGATCGATGTATAGGATGTAATGAATGCCATCGTGATTATTTCATCGAAAATGAAAAGCGTCGACGAGAGCGTTTTTAGTAATTTATGAATAAGAGAAGGACGACGAATTCGAACAAGTCCTCGGCGGACGGAGATGCACGGTCACGTATCGGAATATTCTTGCGTATATTTTCATCGTTTCGATGCTTTTACCGCTCGAATTTATGGAAAACTGGAATGAATACAGCAAATCCTGGTATTCTTCCGCCCTAGCTTTCATAATTCATAACTTGAAATGTATCTCGTCCTCTTGATATTTAAAACTCGAGGAAAAATGTATTTCTTAAGTATTCTTCTTTCAAGGCAATGATTTATCAAGGTAAAATTGATCGGTTAAAGTTTTTTAATAAATTTATTCGAATAATTTATTATTCGAAGTAATTGTAACGTTGTCGCGTCTTCGACTTCGTGACGAGCAAAATTTGAATGATTGAGATGAAAACAAAATTTAACGATTTATAGTGTCCTTGGAATTCGATTCAGAGCTCGAGCAACTTTGACAAGTGTTGATTACAACTATTTTTATTTCCTCGAGTTTAGCTTTTTTAATTCTTTTACTAGATTTGGTAGATAAAAAATCATCATAAAGGAATTTTGCATGCTCTCGTGACTCACTCTTACGATTTAACGATATTTCGCATACTTCGATATATGCTATCGTAACATCCGTTCATTCTTTGATTATAACACGCGTCACGTATACGCAGAACGCCCCTACGTTAATTAATTCTCGTGAAATTTTGTTTTGCATTTAACGAAGCATATGATCGCGAATATTAAAGAAAGAGCGATTAATTACGTTTCTCTTTAAGACGAACGAATGTGTTGAAGAAACATTATTCAAAATTTTCTTATTTATTTTTCGGTTCATTAGCGTCCATCTCTGGATATAACCTCCGGCGAAACATGCTATTGTCTTGAAGAAAAAAACGCGAAACGAGAGAGAAGATAGATACACGAGGTACGAAGAGAAAGTCGTAAAACGTCCAAGTCCGTCCAACGCAGGACAACGTGTTAATAAAAATCGTGTTTTCTCTGCTCTTACATTCGCTAGCTACTGTACCGTATCATCTACCCGATGTTGTTCTAGCTGAAACGTTTAATTTACTCGCGCCGTGCATTCCAGTATGGAAGAACGGAAATGACGGTGTTTCATAAAGATCCGAGTTCACCGTATTCATAAAAGAGTATTTTACGGCGGATGCGCGTAATTTCTATTCTTTCTCCTCTCTCTTTTCGTTAGCCGCGCACATTTATTTGGATTTACTCGAAAATACTTTGATTTCTTTTTTTTTTTCTTCCTTCATTTCCTTAGCGCTTTTAATTCTTATTGTTTCGCAACTTGTGCGGGAGAACCGAGTTATTTTTTTCATAAATAATCGCATTGCAAGTTTAATTTATACGAATACATTTCTTATTTATGTTTTAAATAAGAATCGAATCACTGATGTACAAATTTTCGATAGATATTCGTAAAAATTATTCTACGATTTCGATGATTTTTTGATATGTTGTTTATTAAAAAGTTATTTACCTAATATAACTTAGTTTAACTGAAATCTAATATAAAACTAAAAATTGAATAAATTTTTGTTTTATATCGATACTTGAATCAGAATTAAATAGAAAGTCGTTTAACCGTTAGGTAATTTAATGGTTGGATTAACCTAACCTAAATTATTTTTGTTACATTAAAAAATCATCAACACGAAAGCTAATATCTTTTTGTGAATAAGTATCAATAATTTTCAAATAAGAATTGACTTTTTATTAGAGATTTTTCAATTGTTAATTCTATTTTCGCAATTTTCTTTCAAACATAATTTACAAAATCTTCGAAAATAATGGCACATTAGTGCTAAAGTTCAGCTCAATATTCCCTGTGCTTAACTATGCTTTATGTAATTTACATGAGGCTGCGGATTTAGAATATACGAATATACTTTTCCAGAAACACAGGAACCATTTATTTATCGTGGATGATTTACACATATCATTAAATGTAACATACAATCTTGTTCCAATGTCTGTTATAAATATCGTATCACAATTTCACAAATTTTTTAACATCGCAATTCACTTCATGTGAAAGAGAAATTAGCACGAGGCTTTATTAGAAACACGAAGAAAGTCGAACAAGTTCGCTCCTCTACGCAGTTCTGCAACGTACAGTTGTCCGCAGAGGTAGGCAAGTTCGATCCACTCGGCTAAGTGGAAGGGAATTGGGCGGGCAACTGTTCTTACCAACCGAGTAAAACTTGAAAGTGATTGTGAGTCAGTTGGAGATATCGTTTAGGCGGGGGTTGGGGAATCAGAGGTTGTTTTTAACACGATTGCCTGCGCTTGGATATCAAGTGCGGATCCATTCGTGTAGACGTATTGTTGATAATTAGAAATTTCGTTAATTAAATTTAATGGTATTTTCATTTGACGTATTCGTTCTTAATCAAATATTCTATTGATATTATAGTCTTGATGGAAATATTCGTATAAAACAAAATTAAAAAATATATTTTTCGTATACCTTCGATCATTTAAATTCAAAATTAAACTTTTATTCCTATTCGCCGAAAATGCGCCAAAGTATTTGCGATCGCTTTGATCGTTCCATGTAAAATTCTCTTTCTATTCCAAATATTGATCATTGCAGTCTCGTGTTTCGTTTCACCGATTTTCCTTTCGCTTTGTTGAAAAAGAGAAATACTTCCTCAATCTTGCGATTAATTTTGAATAATTATCCGAAAAAACATATACCTGATTCACGCAATCGTACTAGTTGTAGAAAATTATATGCTATATTTATCCAACAAAAAAATTCTATTTTTAAAAATGTTGTTAGTAAGAATCTGGTTCTTCGATAAGAACGAGTCCTTGTAAGATCGTTGCCAAAATCTGTCGATATTTTTAGAAATAGGTTTATGTACATTGTCAGTGCCATCATCTTTTGCCATCCTTCTTTCGGCCTATCAGCCGGAATCTCGTTGGACGAAGGAGCCATAAGCAAGAACGAGAAAGTTTAAATTGCGCCTCGACCCGCATCTATCGTGGCTTGGTTGTCGTTTATTCGGCTGGTTGGAAGCCCATTTCCGATTGAAACTGATCCCGTCCACGCCACTCGGAACTTTCTTTCGCCTCATCCTCTATGAAATAGCTTCTTCCAACTTTGTCATCCGCTCTTACTTTAATTTCAACGAGATACTTTGATCGTGATCGTATTTTTTTTATACATATTTATCAATATATAAATACGTACAATTTATGTATATTCTATAATCAAATCTATCGTATCAAGTTTCTTAAATATTTTTTTTTTAATAGAATGCATCGAAAATTTGATAGAATGACGGAACTCGTGAGTTAGATTCGAACGTAGAGAAATTCCTTTCGAATTTATCGATCAAAAAAGAAAAAAGATACTTTTTTCTTTTTACTCAAAAATTGAATATTTTAATAAAGAATGAATTTAAAGATATTTTCATTCGTATCGTTGAATATATATACGCAAAGATACGATTCGTATCTTGTATATTTATCCATGAATTGCGTACGATCGCTGTTTCGATTCTGTTTTGTTTTTCCCCCTCTTTTCAAACCGTCCTGAACGACATAGTGAGCTCAGTGTAATGGAACAAAAACATCGGCCTGAATATTTATATAACATAGCTTATTTCTGTTTCCTTTATTAAATATATTTTTTTTTATTGTATATTCTTTATTCTAATCGAATCATTTCATAATATATTAATAGATATACAATTGTGCAATGAAATTATTGCTATTTTTTTACGATTCTACATACGGATCTCGTAAATAAAAAAATCCTCGAATATATTCATCTCGTTTTTTAAGTAAAGGTAAGAATAAGAAGAGAGATCTTAAAAAATCTATAAAATATCGACGGATTGGTGAGATGTTTCCACGTTTGAGTAAAAGTAAAGACGGAAGAGCGATTGAATATCCGGGAAGTGAGGGAAGGTTAAAGAGACAAAGGGAGAGATGCGGATTTTTACGGTTCGACGTGATCCATGGAAACAGATTTGACGTTTTTATGACGGCGGTCGATCGTTTAACGTAATTTCATAAAAGCATTGTCTGCGTTCTTCCTCTTTCATTCGATATTCAGAATCTGATTGAATATTTAATTCCGCCCGATTTCACGTTTCATATCCCCTAATATTAATCTAAATTCGTTCTAATTCTCGATTGTTGTACGAATAAAATTTATCTGATAATTCTTCTTAACAACCAAACATCGAGAATTGATGGATTTTATTTTTTTTCTCTCGCGATTTCATCGAGAAAAATTAACATAATATCATAATTTTATCTACAGACTAGCTAATTTATTTTCGTGATTAATTAGAATCGTTTAAAATGGATACTTTATACGAATAGTAATAGATTTTAGTGTTTTTTAAATTTTAATGGTGATAGTTTTATTTGAAGGGAAAATGACGAGATATGTAAAAACTAGAGGAAAATATATGATGAAAAATTTAATTGATCAAAATTGAAAAAGTTACACGCTGCACATAAAAAATTCTTTCAATCGTACTTTCGAAAAAGCGTCTGCTGCGCGAGATTTCATTTCGAGAAATAAATTCTCGTTCCTTTCGAGATATGAAAAAATGTCGAAAAATTAAGGATTGTTAAGTAAGACATCTAATTATTTAAT